ATACGTCCACACAGAGACTTGTACGTGACTGACTATAACGGTTGATTGATAACTGCCAAAACTTAAAAGCAGCCCAGAAGTCCTTCCGTAGGTGAATGGACACATAAACTGGTACATGCAGAAAATGGAGTATTCAGTGTTAAAAATGAAATGAGGTTATAGAGCCATGAAAAAACATGTTGGAATGTCTCATGATTATCGGTAGTAGTAAGAGAAGCCAGAACTGTATGGTTCCAATGACAGTCATGCACCACACAATGTTTCAGTGAGTGGCAGACCACATACACGATGGTGGGCCCATAAACTTCTAGTGCAGCTAAAAATGTTTTATTGCCCAGTGACATCGTGGCTGTCCTAACACTGTGGAGCAGCGTGTCGGTCGTAGGCTCGTGCTGATGCCGGTGCCGACAGCACCACTGATGGTGTAAAAGTGCAGCACGTACGAGATGTTTTATGTACAGTACATGATACTTGTCAATAATCATACATGACCAGGGAACTGGTTTATGTATATGCTGTATGTTATTGTTATTTTAGAGTTCATTCTTTCTACTTATAAAAAAAAGAAGTTTGCGGTCCTGGCTGGTGTGGTTCAGTGGACTGAGCACCAGCCTGCTAACCAAAGGGTCACAGGATCAATTCCCAGTCAGGGCACATGCGTGGGTTGCGGGCCAAGTCCCCAGTCGGGGGTGTGTGAGAGGCAACCACTCACTGATATTGTTTCCCTCTCTTTTTCCCCTCCCTTCCCCTCTGTCTAAAAATAAACAACTAAAATATTTTTTAAAGATTTTATTTATTTCTCTTTAGAGGGAAAGGGAAGGAGAGAGGGAGAGAAATTTCAGTGTATGGTTGTCTCTCATGTGTCCCCTGCTGGGAACTGGCCTGCAACCCAGGCATGTGCCCTGACTGGGAATCGAACCAAGATCCTTTGGTTTGCAGGCCTGCGCTCAATCCACTGAACTATGCCAGCCAGGGCCTAAAATATTTTTTAAAAAAGAAGTTGCGGTAAAATAACATGCTGTGTCACGCCAACAGTAGCCTCATCTCATGCTCATTGCATGCACCTTTTGATTGTATTTTCTTTTGTGCTTGACTTAATCTCGTGTCATTTTGTGCAGTGACATGCTGGACTGGCTTGTAATATAGGAGCAACAAACTGTGCCTATGTGACACTCTATGTGACACTTTCAGTCTGGTGAATTCTACCGACTTTGTGCTCCTGTTACTGTTAATCACTTCTCAAAGTGAGAGTTCTCTGTGTCACCTGGCTGCACAGCGCTCTTTACTCCTATGTGTCTCTGTCCCTTCCGTCCTTTCTACCACAATCTCTGGACACCTTTTGTTTGTTTGTTTGTTTGTTTGTTTGTTTGTTTGTTTGTTTGGAGAGGAGAACCGAGTATTTTATTACTAAAAGTTCAAGTAAAGGAAGCCTCAAGCCTGGTGCAACCTGATGATAAGACACTAGACATAGAAGCCTACTGTCCCATTAACAAAACCTACACATGAATCTACACATTGGGTCGCTCAGAGATGCGTCTTTTCCTTGCTAGACAAACCTCCATGTTGTCTGCTGCCCTTCACTGAGGTATGGTTCTCTCCTTGGGATACCACCACCTTTGCAGCCCTTTTAGTGGAGACTGTTCCTCCTTTCTCACCCTGATGCATGGAGGTTCTCCCCAAATGTTTCCAGAAAAATATGTTGTGTCTCTCAGATAATAAATTCCTATCGCTCCTGAAGCATATGACATTTGGTTTTTGCACCATTAGCCCTCTTCATTGCTGTCATCTTTCAAACTTCCAGTCACTCTCATTCTTTGATTCTTGGACAAATTGACTCCTCTTCATTCCAATTTCTGCCATTTGGGTGAACATCCTAATCGGGGTGCTCTGCAAAGTATTCAAGAGTTACCCAGGGTAGCCAGGTCAAACACTCAGCTTTCTAACCATAATCTACTGTCCTCCCAGCTCTGTCGCACAATCTTGAGTCCCTTAAGTCCCTTAGTTTCTCCATATTCTCCATCTGCCTATCCCATTCTGGGCTCTTTTTCAATACCCAACCTGCATCTCACGGCGAATCTCTGAACCACTCGCAAGACACATGGCTTACCTTGCACCTACCTCTCAATCTACCATCAGCCTTCTCTGTGCCCACCCTTCTGTCTGTTGGTGCTACCACAGATTCATGGTCATCCCTCAGCCCTTTACATATCCTTGGACAGCTCCTTCAGCATCGCTTCCAGACTTTCTCCACTCTTCTCAAATCCCCTGCCCATTCCCTTCTCTCCGAGTAGCCAGTCTTGCCTCCTGCTTCACTGAGGAAAGGATGTTATCAGGCAAGGGATCTCTAAACCTCAAACTTCCCTCTACTCAAAAAAGAGGTTTCCTCTCCTCTTCCATTAGTCAACCTCTCTTTATTGTTAAACTTTTACTGGCCATGACCTGTGAGCAACCAGAACTCTTCAATATTTAAAGAAAGAAATTCCACATTCTTCTCTAGATTACATGCTGATCCTTGTCCACTCATGGAGGGGGGGCACTTCATATACTAAACCATTCTAAACCATTTCCTGAATGAACTCCAGTCATATCCCTGTATCTGCACTTCTCCAAAAAGTGATCTTCACGCAGTCACCTCCCATTCTCTCCCTGAACAAACCTCAACTGGGCTCTCCTCACACTTCTCCAAACATGCTCTTCAACCATGGCGTCTTTGACCCCAAACCCAGTGGATTCATTTTTCAGTCCTGAATTTTTGACCTCTCTGTTCTACCTGACCAGTTGCCTTCCCCTTGAACTCTAAGGTCTTGCTTTCCATAACAGTACATTCTTATGGTCCTATAGCTCTTTCGTTGTCCTCTCCTTTTGGACAGCCAGTACTCTGACCTTTATATGTTGGTGTTTCCCAGCATTCCATAGCCCCATGATCTTTTCACACTATGCAGTCACCCTAAGCGAGCTCATCTGTACTTTACATTTCCACCATCACCTGTGTGCTCATGTTTCTGGTCAGGTGTTTTTCTTGAGCTTTCAAACCCATAGAAGTCAGCTAACTACTGGAAAACTGCACCAGGTTGCCCCACATGCATCTCAGACTTAGCATGTCTCAAAGCGAACTGCTCATCTTGTTCCCCTGCTATACTGGCAAATGTTCTTTTTAACTGTCCTCCTGATGCCGCTCTGTATTCCTCACCCCCACAATCAATCAGTTACCAAGTATCCTCAATTCTACTTCCTAAATATCAAAAGTGTTACCTCTCAGGGACACTGCCACCACCTTGCTTCAGGACAGACTACTTATTTCCCTTTAATTAAAATTGTCTTTCTCGCCCTGGCTGGTGTAACTCAGTGGATTGAGTGCGGGCCTGCGAACCAGACAATCGTGGTTCGATTCCCGGTCAGGGCACATGCCGGGGTTGCAGGCCGGTTCCCTGCAGGCCGGTTCCCAGCAGGGATGCACGAAAGGCAACCATACATTGATGTTTCTCTCCCTCTCTCCTTCCCTTCCCCTCTAAAGATTTTTAAAAAAAAATGTCTTTCTCTAGCTCAGTTGGTTATAACATCATCCTGATACACCAAGTTTTTGGTTCAATTCCTGGTCAGGGTACATATAAGAAGTAACCAATGAATGTGTAAAATGAATGGAACAACATCCCTGCCTGGTGTGGCTCAGTGGATTGAGCACTGACCTACAAACTGGAAGGTTGCAGGTTCGGTTCCAGGTCAGGGAATGAGCCTGGGCTGTGGGCCAGGTCCCCCCATCAGGGGTGAGAGGTAACTGATCAATGTTTCTCTTCCTCTCTTTCTCCCTCCCTTACCCTCTTTCTAAATATAAATAAATAAAATCTTTAAAAAATAAATTGAACAACAAATTAATGTCTCCTTCTCTCTTAAATAAATATATAAAATGTCTAATGAATAAAATCAAATCGCCTCCCTCTAACTAGGCCCTCTACCACTGCAACCAGAGTGACTTTTCTGAAATGCAAATCTAATTGTGTCTCTTTGCTGCTTAAAATCCTTCCATGGTTCCCCATTGCTCTCAGGTGTGGGGCTTTGTCATTCTCTGTCCATCTCTCCAGACTAATCTCTGACCCTCCTTGCCTCACACTTTACGGTTCAGCATTCAGTTCTCTGCACAGACCATTCTGTTTCCTACCTGGATCTCTTCCCTCATGCTGCCTTCTCTTTTATGAATGGTCTGACCCATGCTGTCCTATTCATTCTGCTATACACCTGTCCCCGGCTCTACTCACCCCACCAAAAGCCATGTAAGGAGTCCCTACCCAGAACCCACAGTACCCTGCACCTAGCAACTTTTACATTTTTACATACCATCTCCCCAACCAGACTGGCCATTAAATCAAGGTCTCTGTTTTTGTTCCTTAAGTGCTTAGTCTATACTGAGTGCACACAATTCCCAAGTGCAAAAATTATAACCAGTGTATCTGCCATAGGGGGCCTGTTACAATATGGCAGACACTACGAAGCAATCCACATACATTCCAGAGTTGTTCCTTACAACTTCCTCAGGATCGCTGTCACCATCCCCCTTCATTCAGTGGGGATTTAGGGAGAGGGGAAGGGGCTTGTCCAAGGCCACACAGGCAGAAAAAGGTGGGGCCTTGTTTACTCTAGTCAGAGTCCTCAGTCCAAAGTCAAGCCTGCGCTATCAGGCATGTGCAGACACCGCCAGCTGCCCATTCCCTCCTTTCCATTCCCATCTATTCCCTCCTTTCCCTTGGTAATGGAACCTCAATTTTATGTGGGGGCAGCAATGTGCCCAGTTAACAGGCTGTATCTCAGCTAGGTGTGTTAGATGATTCAGTGTGTTCCAGCATGGATATGGTCTGGCTTCATAGGACAGGAAAGTAAACTATGCTGTTAAGCCACAATGGAAGAGCTCTGTTAATATGCAGCTAAACCTGGTTCAAAGAATCGAGCTGAATTTCACCCCTTGTGATCCCTTGGGGGGCCGACTCAGAGAAGGAGAAGCCAGCATGGGTGATATAAAGTGTTTGTTTATTTGAACATCATTCCACCTGTACTGAAGCTCAAATCCAGCAGCAGCAGAAGGGGTCTGGACTGAAATAAGTGTTACCAAATTGGACAATGAACAGTGAGGACACATTCAGACAGAACTTACTAATGAGGTGTAGACGACACCAAGCTACCCTAACGTCACACAGCACAGGCCCTCTGAGGTCCACTGGTCAGAGCTCTGGGAAGGGCTATGGCTCCCTCGTCCCCTTCTCAGGACACTGCAATCCCACCCGAAGGCTAGCCCCGAGCCAGGCAGGGGCCTGCGGAAGTTTCTTGTGCCGGGAACACCCCAGCTGCTCCAAAGAGAGGGTCTCCCTTTCTCAGTTCACACTGGAACCTGGAGAAGGGGGATTCCCCTGGGTCCAAGCAGGAATCTCAAAAGAAGGCAAGGAATTTCCCTCCACAGCCTGTCTATAAATTTCCAACATCTTGGATTTTTCAGGCATGAAAAGGATCTTGATTCTATTCATGGTTCTCACACCCTCAGGAAAAGTGTTTTCCTACATGGATACTGGTCCCCAAAGAGGAAAGTTTTCACATCCCAGGGCCCCAGAAGGACTGGACCAACCAGTTCTCTAAACCCCCGTCTAAGACGCAGCCATTTTGGTCTACCCGGCAAGAGTCCTCAGACCAGAGCAGAGAAAGCTGGGGAGTGCCCGCCCCTCTGATGCAGCCACAGTCAGGGCAGGAGTACCTCGGAGGCCCGCTCAATTATATGGGCTATTCCCCGGATGTGAAGGTGTTGGCTACCTGGGCCCCTGTCCTTGACCTCTGAGGAGGTAGGTTCTAACCTCTCCATGAGACACAGGAGTCTGGCAACCCCTTGGGTGGTCCCCTCACACAGTGCCCACAGCAGCTGCTCCCCCATTCCTCAGACCTGTTGCCTTCATCCTCCTCCTCATCCTCTCCTTCCCCCTCCATGTCTCCCCACAACCCTCTCTTCACCTGCCGCCTTCCCTCGCCCTAATCCTTCTTCCATCTTTCCAGTCCCCTCTCCCCCCACCTCTGATTACCCGTCCCTCTGGGTCCCCCCTCTGTTCACTCTTCCTCTCTCCTTTGTCCATTTCCCTGTCTCTCTGGATCTCCCGCCTCCTTGCTCTGTCTTTGCCTCTCCATTTCCCTCTCCTGGCCCTTCTCCTCTTTCTCCCTCCTCTACTTTCTCCCCAGTCCCCAGCACTGGCTTCAACCCCTCCCTCGCAGCCTCCAAACACTGGGCTTTGGTTCAGACCTGCCCTGACTCCCTCCCTCCCACAAGGCTCCATGACCCCACCTTTTTCACCTGGGATCCTTGTGTTTAGCCCCACCTGCTGGGGAAGGTGCCAGCAGGGGGACTGCAGTGCAGGGCTCGGTAGGAGCAGGAGAGGGGGGCCCAGTACTGGGTAGAGCATGGGGGAGGGCGTTTGCCCAGAAGGAGGGAATGAGAAGGGAGGGGGTGGGGTCAGGACTTGGAAAGCTCCAGGTTTCCAGAATCCTACCAGGACCTAACATCTTATCCCAGTTAGGGGCCAGATGGGGGCCTAGGGCATGGGATCTCTACAGTCTGTCTTGGAAGCCCTCCCTCTCAGGTTCAAGTCCAATGGAAACGAACACAAGGTTGGCAAATACATGGCACTCACTGATTTTCTCCCCTTCTTTGGCTGAGGCCAACATAACAGAATGGTGGGGCCTCACGCTCCTCTCCAGTGGGCCTGGCAGCCAGAACCCGCAGACAGAAGCAGGCACACTGGAGGAGGCCGCCTGCCTCCTGAACTAGGGCCTGAAAGGGGCTGTCCGCACCCCCGGCCAGGTGGCTCTACCGCCAGGTCCGTGCGGCAGCGGCAGCAGCGAGGGGAGTCCAGGAACCCCCGGAAGTCTCCCTTATTTGCTCCCTGCCAAGCGGGAAGGAGATGCTCCCCACAGTGGGAGGAGGGGAGAGCGATGACTTCCCACACACTTACACAGGCACACACACTCACACACACGCACACACACTCATGCCTCAGCTCCAAGCATTGCCCATTGGGCTGCGAACCCTGGCCATATCCCAAGGCGAGAAGTGGGCAAGGAGGAGGAAGAGGTGGGGACAGGGTTACAAGGCGGGGGATGGGGACAGGGGGTACCCTGTTCAGAGGTGACCTGCAAGTTCAAGTTATGCAGAAAAGTATCAAAGAGGCAAGATAGTCTCTGCCCTTAGCAAATGCCAGGGTCAGGTGGCATGAGAAGGGGCAGAAGGGTGATATCTCCCCTAATGCCCCATGGTTAGGCCCCCTCTCCAACCTCCAACCCTAACAACAGGGCCAAGGAGTCTGTGCTGTACAAAACAGGTTGGGGTCAAGAGTTCAATCAGTGGTGAGACAGCCCAGCAGAGAGGCCAGGCAAGCCCCAGCTGCCCGGAGTCCAAGTGTCTCCAGCAGTTGCCTCAGAGCCTGTCTGTCTTTTCTCAGACTCTGGGCTGAACAGGGTGCCAGTTGATAGGGAAACCCTGTGCTTTCTCCCTCGGTGCAGCTCAGGCTCCTTTGGGAGAGCTGGGAGCACCCTGGAGCAGGGCAGAGCAGCCCTGGTGAGGCCTGGAGCTCTGCGAAGATGTGATGGAACCATTATAGGCAAAGGAAGGAAGGAAGGGAGGGAGGGAGGGAGGGAGGAAGAAGGAAAGGAAGGAAAAGGAAAGGGGAGGAAGGAAAAGGAAAGGAAAGGAAAGGAAAGGAAAGGAAAGGAAAGGAAAGGAAAGGAAAGGAAAGGAAAGGAAAGGAAAGGAAAGGAAAGGAAAGGGGAGGAAAGAGTTTGGTAGCCCTGGGGCAGTATCTTGAGTAAGTTTCTGCAGGAGGAGGGACCGGAGGAGACAAGGATACAGCCAGGCAGCAGTTCTCAGACTGAGAGAGCCTGGGGCACTGGAATCACAGTGTCTCCTTCCCCTGAAGACTACAGAGCCCCCGAGCCAGGTGGGGAGAGGGGAGGAGACCCCAAGGGATGTCCAGCTCCCTTAGGTCAGTTGAGGGAGGGGCACATTTAGGCCCTGGTAGGGTCTGCAGGGCCTCTCCCCTCTTCCGGGCCACACCCAGCCCCAACAACTCTTCAAAGTCTGGAGCTGGCAAGTGGGTAGCAGGTGAGAAGTCAGTCTGAGACTGGGATCCTTCCTCCTAGCTTGAATGGAGAGTGAGAGGCCAAGAGATAGGACACGCAGAGGGCAGGTCAATTCCTGGGCTGTGATCCTGGCCTTCAGGGTCCCTGTGAGTGAGCGACGGGGCAGGGAAGGACTCCCCAGCTGGAGACATCACCCGCTGGCCGCAACACGGAGCTTACTGTAGAACTCACAAAATCTAAGAGAGAGAGAAAGAGAATTGGAGAAAGTCAGAGACCACCAGGGCATTGGAGTTCCCCTCGGCCCATCCTCAGGGCACAGCTGGGCAGGGGGGTGAGCTACACAGGCTCTGAAATCCCACCCAGGCCTCAACCGGCTAGATGGCCTTGAGCAGGCCACTGGACCTAACCGAGTCCCAACTTCCTCGTCTGCAAGCCAGGCAGAACACCTCACTCACAAGGTAATTTTGAGGGCCAGGGAGACATAAAAGAACGCCAGTCAAGCATTCTGCACAGTGTTTGGCACATATTACCTGCTGGAAATTACAACAATTTATTCTATTTTTTACTTCTGTACCAGAGGTCTTTGGCTTAGAACTGAACTCACTCATCCCTGGATGCTGATGTCGCTTTTAACACTGAGATATTAGGGCATTTGGGGAGTGAAGAGAGGATTCGGAATGGGGCTACCTCAAGCCAGTCACATCCCAGACCAAACGCCTATAGAAAGGGTAGATGGCTTGGACATGCACTTCTGGATGCTGCCACCAGAGGGCAGGCCCTGACTGCATACCAAGACCACAGAAACTACAGGGGAGCCTCCAAGGGCAGGAGACTCAAGAACCTAGGTTAGCAGCTAGCAGGCCAGGAAGGCCTGAAAAGGGAGCAGGCAGTGGGGAAGAGCTTGGCCTTTGGACTCGGACCGGGGCTCAAACTCTGGCTCCACCACTAAGGTGACTTTGGGCAAGTGACTGAATCTCTCCAGACCTCAACCTTCTCATTTGTAAAATGGTGATCTTGATGCCAGCCTGACTCAGAGTCACAATGAGTGGCTGCCTTTACTGAGCATTCACCACATTCCTGTTTACAGGCATAATCTTTCTTTCTTCCTCACAGGACAACTCCATAAGGCAATACATTCTCACCGCACTAATTTTTAGAAGTGCAGGAAACTGAGGCTTAAGGAGGTGGTCACTTCCTAGCTCAGCCTGCTTCCAGAACAGACAACCTGCCTTCCCAGTCCGAGGGTTCCACCACAGTACTAAGCACCTCCTGCCATATGAGACAGTCATCACCACCATGTTCTTTATTTTATAGACGGGAAACTCCAAGAGATACATATAATTAATGGAAAGTGCTGAACATAGACCCAGCTAACACTAATGGCTCAAGGAAGGGTGTGACTACAAAAATAACTGTTTCTCAGGGCAGAGAACACACACCTAGACAGACAGAGGTCTGTCCATTGATGCCAGGCAGTGTCTCCCCTTGCTCAGTGGGCAGGGTGAGGCCCTGGGTCAGAAGGCCAACCCTCCCATGGAGAGCGATCTGGCACTATCTTTTCAATGGTATGTGCAGTTTCACTTCTGGAAAGACACCAAGAAGATACTTGTATATGAAATGACAGAGACAAAGATGTTCATTGTAGCATTGCCAGTAACAGTAAAAGCCTGGAAACCTCACTAATAGCCCCTAAAAGGAGAATGATAAGAAAGTACAGTTCCTTTATCTTATGCAATGCTAAGCACTGAATAAAAAAGGCAAGACGGTTTTGCATGAAATGATAAAGAGAGATCTTTATCACATGCGCCAGAGTGCAGCACAAAAAAGCAGTCTCAGGAGGAGTTTCTTTAGGATGATACCTGTCTTATGTCACAGTAGCACTTAAGGCTACTCGTTTGGTAAAGAGGCAGATCAGGTTTGAGGATGCACAGATAAGCATCTGACAACAGTGGTGACTCCTGAGACTCTGGTCTTATGTGTAAGTTTTCTTTATTGTATTTAAGTGTTACTTGATACATACAACATACAATATATGCAATATGCTAGATATAAAACACAATTCAAGAACTGTGCGTCTATCAATAATTTGTACAAACCTACCTGTCTGCCATCTCCTGCTCCTGGTTTGCCCCATCCATCTCAAACACATATAACCACCATTCTACTGTTTGTATTTCTCATTTCTTTGCTTAAAAAAAAACAGTATTGCCCTAAATATATGTATGTTTAAACTATACATTGCTTAGTGATACTTGGTTTTTGAGCTCAGTAAAAATCTTTCTGTGTTGGCCCTGGCCACATGACTCAGTCGGTTAGAGCATCGTTCCCATATGCCAAGGTTGTGGGTTTGACCCCAGACAGGAAACATACAAGAATAAACAAATAGATGCATAAATAAGGGGTACAACAAACTGGTGTTTCTTTCGCTCTCTCTAAAATCAATCAGTAAGTAAATTTCACTGTCATCTTCTGGAACTTGACCCAGCCCCAATAGTACGTTTTCAACGTGGACCCCTTCTGTTTCTATAACCGAAGTTGATTCATTTTCCGTTATGAACTACTCCATGATGTGAATACACCACCATTTAGTTAGCCATCCTCCTGTGAATGGCCGGCCATTAGGGCTGTTTTTAGTTGTATTCTAATTTCAAACCACTGTCAAGAGCATTCTTGCACGTTTCTCATGGGTTTATACTCACTGGTGGGTTTGCTGGGTCACAGGCACGCAGATGTTCAGCTCTAAGGGATAACATCAAATTGTTTCTAGGTGGTCATTCTGTCGGTACCATTCCCAATTTCTGCCTCACTGTTGACTAAGAAGTTGCCCTGCCGGGAAGGCGCAGGTCCAACACACGCCCGCAACCCCGCAGCCGCCTTCCCGCCCGCGGGAAGCGGGAGCGCACTTACCTTTGTTGTCCTGCTTGAGCTCTTCCTGCAGCAGATCTGTTTGCCGGTTGCCCAGCACGAAGGCGAGGAAGGAGAGGATGAGGGCGTTGAGGATGCCGATGATGGCCAGAATGTACGCCCAGCGCACCGAACAGTCCCCCAGGGAGTACTTCCCGGTCTTGGCCCCGCACATGTCCCGGATCGTCTCGGCGTCCCAGCCGTCCGGGAAGATCATGCAGCCCAGCACGAGGCACAGAGCTGAGGGGGCGCGAGGCCCAGCCCCGCCGCGGTCAGGAAGGAAGAGAGAAGGGGATGATTACTTCCCAGAGCCCGAGGACCCCCGGAAACCCTCCGAACTCCACTCATCAACCCAAGATCCTGCTAACCGATTCCTGTGGGTTCCAGAAACTCTAGGGCCTGGGATGACCTACTGCTTCGCAGAGCAGAAGCTTCCCAGAACCCACAATACCCTCTCGAGCCCCCACCAAATCAACTCCTCTTCCGGGAAGTCTTCCAAAACGTGAGAAAATAGCAAACCATGGTCACCCCCGTAGCTCCCTTTAGCATCTTGGCCGTATTTACCCTCTCCCATCCTCATCACTATTTATTTAGATCGTTCATTCAACAAATATATATTGAGCGCCATTTTTCTTCCCATCAAGATACTTGGAAATGCATTCTCATTCACATAGTTGATTATTGTGCTCAGAGAACAGGCTGGGGTGAGAACTACAGGGTTTGACCCTGGTTCTGGTAATTTTATCATCAAAACTACTCATACTGATTAAAAGTAATAATCACAAATAAGGAAATAATTGGGGAAGAGAGGCCTTGGTTTCAGATGAGGGGAGAAGGGGCAAGGCCAAAAAAGAGCATTAGAGTCCAAACGGGCCCCTGTTTATTCCCTACTTGGCACCTACTCCCTCTGGGTTTAGTGACCCACTTTGGTCAATTTCTGGGGCTCTTCCCAGTGTTCAGCATAGTGGGTGGGACTCAAATGTGAGCCAATCAGCACATTGCATTTATCTGATAACTGATTGGCCCACGGCAGGGAGCACACTCCCTACAGGACCAATCAGAACCAAGCAGGCTCCTGAAGCCCTGAGGCTATGACCTCTGCCCTTTCCCCCCCGGGATGCTGCTGCCGCACGACCGGTGCCCGCGCAGTTGGACCGCGCCTTCTCAGAGTCTGAGGGTTCCCCCTGCGGCTGCGTCACTGCGCCTGGGCCCCGAAGGTCCCACGCCAGGTCACTGGGCGTTTAACTGGGTATTAGTTGAAAGCGATGACGACGTGGGGGGTCAGTTCTGCCCCCTGTCCGTGAGCCCCATGGAGTCCCCCAGGATCGGGAGGGGACCCTCGGCTTTGTCACCTCCTCCTCAGGTCCCAGGCTCCTGCCCGACCCCGAGGTGATGCCCTCTCTCTCTCCGTCCCTTTCTCGCTTGGCTTCCTGCGGCCTCGCCAGCCCTCTGGGGCCGCGCCCTCTAGCCGGACTTCCGCCCCTCCGCGGCCTCTGGCCTCGGTCACTGAGACTGAGCGCAGGTGGAGACCGGGCCACCTGAGGGCAGGGGAACGCGTTCCTGCGAAGGGAATGACACCTGTAAATAGGCCTGAGGCGAGAGTGAGATGGGTGAGTTAAAGAACTCAACAAGTTAGAAAATGCCCCTTAGACACGGAAATGGAGAGGGACTCTGGGGTGGGCCTGGGAGATCAGTGCTGCAGATGTAACTTTGGGAGTTGTGAGCATGCGAACCCCTGGGGCTGGACCTTACGGAAACTGAAGAGAAGGCTCAGGACTAAGCCCTGCGATGCTCTGGCGATTACTCGGCCGGAAAGGAGGAGGAACCTACGGAGCCCACCTTCCCAGGAAACCCCGACGCTCTGCAAAGCCCTCCAGGCCCCTGTCGGAGGCGGGAGGAGAAACAAACTTAAGGGGGAGGTGGGGCGCGGGGCGGGGAGGGGGGGGAGAGAAGGGGCGGGCTGGGCGCAGCTCTTCTCCCGCCGCCTGTGGGTTGCTTTCCAAGCGCAGTGAAAGGCAGGAAAGAGGAAAGATCCTCATTGGAAGGCCAACCCAGCCAGCTCCCGCCTCCTCTCCCGCCCTCCCCTTGGGGTGCAGTTTCCTCTCCCGCGTCTCGGGAGAAACAGATTCAGCTTCCAAAGCTCCCAGCCGCGCGCTGCAGCACCTCTCGGCTTTCTTCTCTTGGCTCTGCGACCGCACGTCCTGTCTCCCTCTGCCTCACCACTTCCCTCCCCCCCCCCCGCCCTCTCTCTCTCGACCCTCGCGCTTTTCCTCTCCTGGTTAGATTTCTCAGCATTTAACATTTATTCAACACCCCATCTCGCTTCTCTTCCTTCACTATATCTATCCCTTAGCCCTTTCCTTTCCCTGGCTCTCCCTTTGCTTATTTCACGTATAAATTCTGAGTGTCAGGCAGGGTGCTGGGGACACTGGCAGGCATGGTTTCTGGTGCAGGGAGCAGAGGTGTGTGGGGAGGAATAAAATCAAGTCCACACACAGTGCTTGGAAGAAAACAAAGGGCTGACACCTTGATTATCAGGGTGATCAGAGGATACCGGCACTGGAGCCTCTCTCCCCATCTCTCCATCTCTGCCTCCTTTGCTCTGCAGGGTTTTAGGTGGTGACTGTGTAGCCCCAAACGCTACTCTGGGAATGGGAAGCATCAGAAATCAAGCGAATGAAGGAAAGCAAACCCAATGGGTTTTCCTGGATCTCAGGGAAGACAGGGAAAGACCACCAGGGACTGCCTAAACCAGGGAAGTGACCAAGAAGTTCAACTACCAGGTGATGAAATGACTAGAAGCAAGGCAGCCTTCCCCATTCCCATTTGCTGGATGAGGAAGGTCAGGCTGAGTTCTTTGTGGAGTCCAAGTTGAAGTCTCTTTTGAAATAGTCCTCTGGCTGAAGAACTGGCTGCTTCAAGCAAGGCACAAAGGCAGGGTGCAGCATGAGGTAGGGGCTCTCAGCTGCAGCTGAGACCGCACGTCCTGTGCATTGTGGGATGTTGAGCATCATCCCTGGGCTCTGCCCACCACCACATGGCAGTGGCACCAGCACTCCAAGTCATAATAAAAAATGTCTCCAGACATTGCCAAGTGTCCCCTGGGGGACAGAACTGTCCATGGTTGAGAACCACTGGTATAGGGGAAGGGGCCCTCAGATGGGGCATGTCTCCCTGCTCCAAGAAGTCAGGACATGTGACAAAACTGTGATTAATAATATTAATATTGTTAGTAATGGGATTATAATGTTAGCAAATAATATTGAGTGCTGAACTGTGTGCCAAGGGTCTGAGCTCCCAACATTCATGATTTCATTTAATCTTGTAACAAAATCTGAGGTGGGAAAAGTTATTGTTTTCATTTTACAGATGAGGATACTGAGGCTCAGAAGGACCAGGTTATCAAATCCAATGCCACAGTTAGGAAGTGGTGGGATCTGCATTCAAATCGAGGCAGGTCTTTACTTAATGTTTTTCTCTGAATGGATTCATTTTTTAAAGTAGAGGCATTTACTTACAAAGTAAGATTTACACTATCAAGGAAAAGGAACCAAGATTATTTTCCATAAATAGAAAGAAACTATTTATAAACTATTTATGTAAATATAAGTATAATGAAACCAAAACAATGTTCTTAGATTCTAGCTGCACACTTTGCCTGCCAAATGCTCTGAGCCTGAGGGCTGCTCCCTCATTTAAAATTCTTAGCCTGTGTAAAAGGAGTTAAAGACACACGAGCCCCAAACTGAGCCTTTTTCCTTGAAATTAATGAAACAGGGTCCACCTTGTACTGCATCAGCAGGAGGCTTAGCTCCGTCTCTTTAGTGCGCAACTACAGGCAAAGTCAGTCCACCTCTCTGGGACTCAGTTTTTGTCATCTGTAAAATGGAAGTCCTGTTCATTCCATAGAGCTTTTGTGAGAATCAAATGACGGAGAAGAGAACTAGCAAATTATTAAGGGTAATGTGGAGGCAGGTCACGGGAATTCTTGGCCGAGTGGGGAAAAAAAATATTGAACAAAAGAGAGGAGTCTTTTTCCAGAAATAAAAGACATGTTAACAGTTACTGCTGAGGGTAGAAGCTGAATTTTTACATAAAACCATGACATAAACCAATATCTGTTTACTACAATATCTGTTTAATCCCCTCTTTCTTACCATTAGAGCCCCAATTTTTAAAATTTAATTGTTGTTCAAGTACAGTTTTCTGTTTTTTAATCCCATCCCAGCCCACCCCCCAGAGCCCCAGTTTTTAGCTGAGAACTTGCCTATTGAAAATAAAGACCATACCCTGGCTGGGTGGCTCAGTTGGTTGGAGCACTGTCCCATATAGCAAAAGGCTGGGGGTCTGATTCCCAGTCAGGGACACACCTAGGCCGCAGGTTTGGTCCCCAGTCTGGATTCATGTAGGAGGCAACCAATCCATGTTTCTCACATTTATGTATCTCTCTCTTCCTCTCTCTCTAAAATAAACATTTAAAAAATTTTTAAACCCTTAAAAAAAAGAAAACAAAGACCACAAGACTAAGTAAAAATGCCTTCAGATGTATTATGTATTTGTTACGTGTTATAAACAGATTTATAAGGATGTTAGAGTGTGTCCCTTGCTGTCCTTTTCTTAATTCATTTCTCCATCCTGCTGACTGGAATGCAGATGTGATGGGTAGGGTCCTAGCAGCCATCTTCAACCATCACTGAAGGACAAGGGCTGTACTCCAGGAGTGGTGGAGCAGAGCTCTGGAAGGAGCTACCATGCCATCTCTGGACTGCCTAACTCTTGGGCACTGGTTTTGCAAAAGAGACTAGAACCGAGGGTAATTAAATCACCATTATTTGGGGTTTTCCTATGGCATACAGCCAAGCCTAGTCCTAACTGATATGTTTTTCCTTCTGAATTTTGGTATCATGTGTATGCTTTGGGAAAAATAATTAACTGTGTGTTTGGGCAAGTCACTTCTCCATTCAGAACCTCAGTTTTGTCATCAAAGGAGTGGCGATATCAAGGCTCAAAGCAGACATCGTCACTGTAATGGCGATAGGCTCCATTGTGTGGTGTGAAGGTAGAGCACGTGGGGAACTAACAGTGGTGTCCATAGAAGTCGTAAATGCACTTATCTCTAACTCGGAAATGCATCCTATGGCTAAACTTGTGCATGTACCCAAAGGATGTGTACAGGGTACTTACTGAGCCCCCTTTTTTATAACGAAGGACTGAAATGTCTATTGAGAGGAAATGTTAAATAAAGCACGATGTATACATACCATGGCATACTACATAGCCATTAAAACAAATGGAAAACAACTGTATGTGTTATCATGGAAAATCTTCTAAGATATAGTAAGTCGTTTAAAAATCAAGGTACAGGCCCTGGCTGGTGTAGCTCAGTGGATTGAGCTCGGGCCTGCGAACCAGAGGATTACGGTTCGATTCCCAGTCAGGGCACATGCCTGGGTTGCAGGCCAGTTCCCAGCAAGAGGACTCATGAAAGGCAACCATACATTGATATTTCTCTCCCTCCTTCCCTTCCCATCTAAAGATAAATAAATTAAAAAAATAAAAATCAAGGTACAGAATCGTCTATATAGTATGATCCCATCTACGGTTTTTAAACTGTACATAACTATGGAATGCATAGCAACATTTAGAAAGAATGGTAGCTCTGTAAGGGCTGACACAGCGCGCTTTCTGAGATAAGATGTCTACTGAAGACAGCAGTCATAATTTCTATCAAATCAACATGTAGCCAGTGTTTTCCTGTGCCCCACACGGTTCTGCTTTATGTGTATGGAATGATGGTTTTCCCCCTTTGGAAGGATACAGAAGCCTGGGAGGAAGGTAGAAGAGGGCACTTACTCTTCATTCTGTACCCTCCTGTACTGTTGAAAGTGTTTAATTTCTGCGTGTACTACTTTGATAATAAAATGGTTTTATCATGTCCAATCCTTTTCCAATTATGTCAGGTCATGAAATGCTCTTAAACTTTATTTTTTAAAAGATTTTATTTACTTCTTTTAGAGAGAGGGGAAGGGAGGGAGAGAAACAATACTGTGCAAGGGAAACAGCGATCAGCTCCCTCTCACATGTCTGCAAACGGGAACCTGGCCCACACCCCAGGCACACACCCTAGGATCAAACGGGCGACCCTTTCCTTGTTCTGCTGGACAACATCCAACCAACTGAGCTGCACCAGGCAGCATGCTCTTAAGCTTTTTAGAATTAAGAAAGGAAAGGAGAGTTAAAAGGAAAGATAATACTTGAGCTTGGGTAATAAAATTAGGATGAGACTAAGAAGTGGTAAAGAATTAGTAAGAGAAAATATATACAGGAGGGTTTTTTTTCCGAAGCTGTGCTGTAAATGTGCCTTGAGATAAGTTTTTTTTTAAGATTTTTATTTATTTATTTTTAGAGAGAGGGGAAAGGAGGAAGAAAGAGGGAGAGAAACATGGGTCAGTTGCCTCTTTCAAGTCCCCAGCCTGGGACATGACCCAAAACCCAGGCATGTACTATGACTGAGAATCTAACTGGTGACCGTTTGGCTTGCAGGCATCACTCAATTCACTGAGCCACACCAGCCGGGGCAGTCTTTTTAAAAAAAAAAAAAAATTATTGATTATGCTACTAAAGTTGTCCAAATTTTTTCTCCTTTGCCTCTTCTACCTGGTATGTCCCATTCCCTCCAGCAATCCCCCTCCCCACACCCCTTAGTTCATGTCCATGGGTCATGCATGTAAGTTCTTTGGCCACTCCATTTTCTATACTGCTCTTAACGAACCCCTCTATTCTGTACCTACCAATTTGTACTTCTTAATCCCTGCACTCTGCATCTGACAGATTGCTTATCTCCATTTCGTTTAGTTCTTTTTCTGGAGTTTTGTTCCGTTCTTTCTTTCGGGCCATATTTCTTTGTCTCCACATTTTGACAGCTTCCCTGTGTTTGTTTCTATGTAGTAGGTAGAACTGCGTTGATTTCTTGTGTTGGTAGCATGGCCTAGTCTAGAAAAGTGCATTGGCAAGTGGAATGGGGCAGCACCTCAGATAATCGCCAGGACAGGACAACCCATTCGAACCAGGTTGATGGAGTCTCTGGGGGTGTTGCCACCCTGTGGCTGTGTGTGGGGGAGGGTTCAGAAAGGGGACAATGCTGCTGCCTGACCTCATCCCCTGGCACTTTCCTGGATGCCAGACACTTCAATTTCTTCCCCAAAGGGAACTGTTGGTGCCCTTTCAGCTGCTACCCTGGTGCTGAAGCCTAGAGGGAGTGAGTCTGTGGAAATCTAAGCCTGTTTCGGGCCCTTTAAGAGGAGACTCCTGAGAATCCTACAGTTCTCTCTGCTGCCCCAACTCCCACTGGTTTTTACAACCAGAAGTTATGGGAACTTATCTTCCTGGCACTGGAACCCTGGGCTAGTTGGTCTGGTGTGGGGCTGGGATACCTTGCTCCCACTCCTGATTTTTATCTACAACAGGTGGGTGTGTGACCATCCATTCAACATCTCTCCAAGTCTCCACCCCTCCTACCCATCTGGATGAATGTGACTTCTTTAATTCCTTGGTTGTTGACTTTCCATACAGCTTGATTTTCTGATGATTCTGGGTGATATTTGTTTTTTAGTCTAGTTGTAATTTTTGCTGTGGTTGTGTGAGGAAGTGAGCTGTGTTAACCTATGCCTCCATCTATATGTCTTTTTAATGACGCATTTTATGCTTAGCTATTTGAATAGTTTATTATAATACCCTTACACCATCCTCGAAGGACATCCGCTGAGCTGAGCACTCCTAGAAGGAGGCATCTATTTTTGTTCATCCGCCCCAGCCATGCCTGACACATCATGGGTAACACTCATTACTGGGTAGTTAGACTGGAGGTCCTCCAGGTCTTTCTCTCCCTGAGAAGACTCCCAAGAAGCTTGCTAAGGACTTAATTGCATCGCCACAAAATTCATATGTGGAAGCCCTATCACCCAAAGTGATGGTATTTGCTCTTTCAACATATTTTGTTAATTATGCTATTACTGTTGCCCCATTTCTTTCTCTCATTTATTCCCTTCTACCCTGCATCCCACCACCCACCAGCATACTCCCTCCTTAGTTCATGTCCATGGTCATACATATAAGTTCTTTGACTTCTCCACTTCTTACACTATTCTTAACTTCTCCCTGTCTATTTTGTCCCTACCATTTATGCTTCTTATTCCCTATACCTTTTCCCCCATTCTCACCCTTCCCCCCTCTTGCTGATAATCCTCCATGTAATCTCTATTTCTGTGTTTCTCTTCCTGTTCTGTTTGTTTAGTTTGTTTTTGGCTTTGTTTTAGGTTCAGTTGTTGATAGTTGTGAGTTTGTTGTTATTTTACTGTTCATATTTTTTATCTTCTTTTTCTTCGATAAGTCCCTTTAACATTTCATATAATAAGGGCTTAGTGATGATGAACTCCTTGATCTTGACCTGATCTGGGAAGCACTTTATCTGCCTTTCCATTCTAAATGATAGCTTTGCTGGATAGAGTAATCTTGGATGTAGGTCCTTGCCTTTAATGACTTTGAATACTTCCTTCCAGCCTCTTCTTGACTGCAAGCTTTCTTGTGAGAAATCAGCTGATAGTCTTATGGGCACTCATTTGTAAGTAACTGTCTTGTTTTCTCTTGCTGCTTTTAAGATTCCTTATCTTTAATCTTGGGTAATTTAATTATGATGAGCTTCTGTGTGTGCTTCCTTGAGTCCAACTTCTTTGGGACTCTCTCAGCTTCCCAGACTTTCTGGAAGTCTACTTCCTTTGCCAGACTGGGGAAGTTCTCCTTCATTATTTTTTCAAATAAGTACTCAATTTCTTGCTCTTCTTTTTATCCTTCTGGCACTCATATGATTCGGATGTTGGGACACCTAAAGTTGCTCCAGATGTTCCTAAGCCTCTCCTCATGTTTTTGAATTCTGGTTTTATTCTGTTCTGGTTGAATGTTTATTTCTGCCTTCTGCTCCAGATCATTGATTTGAATCTTGATTTCCTCCCCTTCACTGTTGGTTCCGTATATATTTTTCCCGTATTTCACTTTTCATAGCCTTCACTTTTTCCTCTATTTGTGACTATACTCAATCATTTCTGTGAGCATCCTGATTACCAGTTTTGAACTCTGCATCTGGTAGGTTGGCTGTCTCTTCATTGCTTAGTTCTATTTTTGGAGCTTTGATCTGTTCTTTCATTTGGGATATCTATCTATCTATCTATCTATCTATCTATCTATCTATCTATCTATCTATCTATCTATCTATCTATGTCTCGGCTGCCTGTGGTGTTGTAAGGGGCAGAGCCTTATGTATTTGCCAGGGCAAGGCAAACCGCATGGCTGTGTTGTGATGGTGTATGTGAGGGAGGGGCCGGAGAAGGAACACTGGGGCTGGCTTGGCTCTCTGCAGGCTTTTGGTTACTTCCCCCACTACCCACAAACAAATTGGTCCCTTTTGGT